TCATAGAGGAAATCTCCATAGCAATAACTGATTATTATGATAGACAATTCACAATTTTGATGCTTCTGTCATTTTTTGAATGTAGATTTGGCTTCAAGTGAAGTATTAACATCTTCTTTGGCATTGTCACATCATTAATTAAATTGTGACCATTAGTTATGGGGAAACGTACAGTCTAACATCATATACCTAATAATCTATCATTGTCGTCATACATGACAATTGTGCTAATTGGATGCCACATTCATCAAATTTAAGATAATCATCAAAGTTGTCAAAAAAACAACGAGTAAGCAGTTAGAACCATGCCCTAATTCTTAACTAAAGGTCCAGTTGGAGGCTAAGTTCATTATACATTCCATAAAGACAGGGGACCCATTAAACATGATGATGAGTAGTTAAAAGACATTATCATTTGCACTAATTGATGCCAAAAACACAGCTTATAATTGGGTTTTTTCCTCCCATGCTATAGCAAAGTTTGTTCCCCTTGACTTGCTCTTTGATTTGATTATTTCAATATTTATTGCTCAACCGTTTTTTTTTTTTTTTCATGAATTAAATTCCTTCCCCTTAACCCCACTGCTTCAATGTACGCTTATTCATCCCTCACTTTCTTCCATATTTGGGAGACCTCAATCTACTCAAGTGGGAAGGTTTGGTGGGGTTTGAAAGGAGCACTTTGGCTCCCATTGGTTGGTTTTTTCTCTATAACAATCCAAAAACATCAGTCAAAAGCACTTCGAAGTTAGATTTTCATGCATGATAAATTTACAAACAGAGAAGGGATATCTTTCCCCAAGCCTAGATCACAGCAACATAATATTGGTCCCAATAGTTTGATCATCTTTCACTCTAAAAAAGACAATAACTAAAGTTGTATAGAATAACTTTCTAAAAAAAAAAAAGTTACATAGAGTAGCAGGAGTGAAATGTGATGCCACATGCTTGCAAAGGAAATTGATCAACTTACATGAATTAATTAATTTTGAGTTTTAACTCATGTTATCATACTCAAATTTAATGCAGCAAAATGCAACAATGAAAATCAAAACTTTCATTGTAAGTAAGACATCTTCAAACCAACTGTTTCTATCTCCACCTTTCTTCTTCTTTTTCTTTCTTTCAAGGTTTTTTTTTTTTTTTTTTTTTTTGAATGATAACTTCAGCTAGAAAATAACAGTAAAACAAAAAGGGAAAATGATAGTATTGCTTTTGGCATTACATGCACTAATACTTTTCAAGCAAATGCATTAATTAAGGTACTAATTGTTATTATTAAATTCTATCCTTTTGTTAAAAAAAATTTATATTTGATTTACTGTTAGTGAATAGATTTATATACACAGTCAATAAATCAGATGATACTTATTTTATCAATAATTAAATATAAATTTTTATTAACCCTTAAAATAAAAATACAAAATTTTTTTAAAAAAAAACTTTCTCATTAATAACATATTATCATCTAAATCACTAACAGTTTATAAAATTTTTATACTAATAATACATAAAGTATAAATTCTAAAAAAATAATCTGAATATCATTTTTTTACTTGAAAGAAATATTCAAATTGAATTTTTTGAATATAAAAACATATTTACCTATATCATTAGGTTAAATAATAGAGTGTGGTATCCATTTTGATGAATAAATTATGTATGGAACATCACCGTATTTCATCCTTTGCTTTAAAACCACAAAAGCTCAGTTCCAAGTACTAAGCTTTATGGCGTGCAAAAGATGAACACATGCCTCAACTTGTGGGTCTTTATTAATTTTTTCTAATCAGAGATCAGATCTAAAGACTAATGCACGATTGCACGTGAATACGTGGTATTTAAGCCCCCGTATAAGATTCACCACTTTTTTTTTTTTTTAAATCATTCTTGATCAAGAATCAGAACAGCTAGATTGATTTTATTAAGGGGACATTTCAATAAATGAGAGAAGAGAAAAAAAAAAAAAGTGCTGAAGTATTTAATTCTGATTGTTGTTATGCAAAATGATTAAATCCCTTAATTCTATTCTAGCTATCCGTTTTTTAATTTGAATTTTTTTTCTATTTTAAAATTATAATTATTAGGAATTTGTATTCTGATAATGTTTTAAAAAGGAATGGATAAAGTAAAGAAGAGATTTTGACTTTAAAATTGATTTTGTCCAGTATTTGACCTTTTTTGAATCTAGAATTCAACAAACGTGAAAAAAATATATATATATTTTTTACGGGCTCTAATTTCACATAATTAAAAACCATTCTTTTTTAGATTGTCTAATGAATTATTCTCTTTGGACAATAAAGGATTTGGACTTGATTTTTTTTTTTTGGTGCTATTATACAAACGATATTATTTAACTTGATGTTTCCACAATTATACGTTTTAGTTTGTCTAAATTAAAATTTAAACCAACATTATCCTGATGAGTTTTCACGAATGAATTGGATCCTTGTTTACTTGCTTACATAATAAAAAACAAAAGCTAAATTATAAGGAATTGATATCGTCAATCTGAGATATTATTTGTTTTAATCTAAAAATTTCATAATTTTATTTCAAAAAATATTTCACAAGTATATGGATTTAAATTTTTACATATATATATATATTATATTTTCACATTTTTTTAATGTAAAATTTAAGATATCGCATCAAATACTTAAATTAATATAAAAATTTTTATATGTATATATATTTTATCGTATTTCTCCGATTTTTGCTAGGTTTGTTAACATATAACGTAATGTTTTTGGTATAATATACAAATCTTGTCCAGTTATATCCAAATATCATTTCCTTTTTATGACTTAACAAAACTAGAATTGGTGATTTCAAAGTACAAAAAATTTTCTATTAGCTAGAGCTTATCAGGATGTCAAACCTAATAAAAACATTCATCTTGTTGGGAATATTACTAGATTCACCTAGGTTACATAATTTTATCAATCAAAGATTCACCTACACAAATAATATATAGAATAACTTGAAATTACTAAGTCCAATTAGATTACAAGAATTGACAAGGTTGATGGCATGACTTCAGACAAATTCAAAATTCTAAACAACTAAACCATGTGCCGATGCCCGCAGTTTGCTTTAATTTTGTTGGACTTTGAAAAGTTTAGTACGTTTATGGGCATATAAAAATTACAAGAGAAATTAATGATCATGAAAAATTTTTTTTATGTTGATGATTTGTTTGTTTAAAACGAATCTTAAAATGCTATTTTTTATCGTTTGTTAAATTTAATAAATAAATATAAATCAAATTTGTTCGTAAATTATCCAATAAATGTTATGTTTGTTTATAACCTTAATAAAAAACTTACTCGTACAATTTTTTTTTATTTTTCCATCCTATTGTCCTTAATGCATAGTTATATTCAAAATAATTAAAAAAATTGCCTTCTAATGATTCATCAAACCAGCTATCTTCTTCCATGAAAGATGGGAAAATTTTTCTCTTAAATTTTGAAAATTTATATAACTACTTTGAGATTGAGATTAAATCCGGTAAGTTAAAACTTAATAATTAATTTAATTTCTTTTTTATTATTATACTTGTTATATTTATTTATGTTAATAGTTATGGGATTTATTAATAGAATATTAAACTCTTAATTTTAATATAAAATTCAAATATTAACAATTTCAAATATTTGTTTATAAAAAATACGAATGATTTTAATAAATTTTTATCAGAATGGTTAACTATCGGTTTTTTATTCGAAGTAATTCTTTTGAATGAAATTACATGGTACCCTTTTTTTAAATTTGTCTAAATAAACAATATAATTTCATGAATGTAAAATAAAACAGACCCTTTGATGAAGAATTTTCTTCATTTATTTAAAAAACTATTTTAAAAAAGAAAAATTAGGTGAGGTAGATTATCCTATTACAAGATTATATAAGAAATGTCATAGATTTCAATAATATATATTGAACTTATAAATGGTTTATCAAACAAGACTATTGATAATAAAAAAAACAAACATAAATTTAATAAATGAAATATTCAATTCTCACCGATTCAACCCACTAAAAATATTTATATTCTTTATCCTTTGTCAAACTTCTTTTCTCAAGCTTGAAGCTCCAACAACTCCTATTGTCAATGTATTGAATTGTTCATCTCCCATCTCTTTCTAAATTCCAAATCAAAATTAATATAGAGAGAATTTGGTCCTTCATATATATATCTTTCTTTTTTTGTCCTCAATTTTGTTGAACATTTTGCGGTCAGATTTGTTATGGGATTTATGGAATTCTTAATACTCTTTATAAAGAAATTAAAGTTATATTATTCATCACTTAATTATAATTATATTTTTAAAATCATCATTTAATTATTAAAAATTTTAATTTAATCATTCAAATTTGAATAAATATTATTTTATCATCCAATCATTAATTTTTAATGATAGGTTGATGAAATCAATGATATATTTTATCTTTTAAAAAAAAAAGAAAGATTAACTTATATCAATGTAAAATTTTTTAATTTTATATTTAGTTAAATCATTAATTTTAATAAATTTAAGAAATAAAATTAAATTTTTTTAAATTTATTTCTTTTACTTCTTAAATTTATTAAAATTAATAATTAAAAAATATAAAAATATATAAAGCTTATTGGTATAACTTGGTCATTCTTCAAAAAATTATAATGATAATAGTCTTACTAATTTTTGTTTTCTTAATAATAAAAGTTTTCATTGATTATACAGAAAATAAATATTCATTTAGTAGTAATTATTACTAATCCCACCCAATTTTTTAAAAAAAATTTTGAGGAATGAATTTCTTGGAATTATGAAAATATTATTCGGCCCGCTTTAGTGCTTGAAAGCGGGGTTTTACACAACACTTTGCTCAAGTTATATAATTAAAATGAAGTCGGGCCGGCCTATTTTTAATTAAACAAAATAAAATTAAAATTAAAAGAAGCTTGTTTGTTTCTCTTTTATTTATTTATTTATTTTCTCTTTCTGAAAAACGCATCCTTTCCTGTCATATGTCTCTCTTTTTCTCTGTAAAGACAAAAAGCGCGGATCTATCTCATCCCCTCTCTCCACCTACAAACAACGGCTTCACACCCTTCACTCCCTCCCTTTCTCTTTCATCAAATTTCTTTCTTTTCACTTAGAAACTCAGCTTTCCCCCCTCCCAGATCTATCCCATCTAACCACTCCTCTCCCAAACAAATAATTGAAGAATTCCGTTGGACAGAAACTTAACCCTCAAAAAGAGAAGAGGAAAAAAAAAATAATGCCTTCGGTTTGTTCAGATCCGATCCGCAGAATCCACCCGGAGTCTATCGATCACTTCGACCGCCTTCCGGAGTCTCTTCTCCTTTTAATCTTCAACAACATCGGTGACGTCAAAGCTCTCGGCCGATGTTGCGTTGTTTCCCGTCGTTTCCATTCTCTCGTCCGGCAAGTAGAGAATGTTGTTGTTCGTGTCGATTGCGTCATCTCCGACGATGATTGTTCACCCTCTTCCTCTTCTTCCGACAAGTCACGTGCTGCCGGTGCCTTTTACAACCTCTTCCGTCTCGTTTTTGGAGGCATTGTCAAACCCTTCCAAGCTTTGGGCCAATTCCTCTGCCCAAAACGGTCCACTCTCAACGAAACCCTTAACACCCCTTCATCCTCTTCCTTATCCGTCGGTCCTGGTTGTGATGATGATCGGGAAATGGACCAAGGTGGGGTCACTCATCATTCCCCGACGCAGGTACTTAGAAATTTCAACGAGATTCGTTTCCTCCGAATCGAATTACCCAGCGGCGAGTTAGGGATCGATGACGGAGTTCTGTTGAAATGGAGAGCCGATTTTGGATCAACCCTTGATAACTGCGTCATCCTCGGAGCTGCCTCCGTCATTAACAACGAGCATTTGCAAGTATCTGAGCTTGGGAACGATGGATTTTGCATCAACAATAACATCAACAACGGTTCAAATGTTGTCAGCGGCGATGATAATGGGAGTATTCCAGAGTCATTTTATACCAACGGTGGCTTGAAATTAAGGGTTGTTTGGACGATTAGCTCGTTAATCGCAGCATCAGCAAGGCATTATTTGCTTCAACCGATAATTGCGGGGCATAAGACGCTGGATAGCTTGGTTTTAACCGATGCGGATGGACAAGGGGTGCTTTGTATGAGCAGGGATCAGCTTGAGGAGTTGAGAGTGAAGCCGTTATCAGCTTCTTCTGCTTCGAAAAGGACGCTGGTGCCTGCGTTGAATATGAGGCTTTGGTATGCTCCTCATTTGGAATTGCCTGATGGGGTTGTTTTAAAAGGTGCTACTTTGGTTGCGATTAGGCCTAGTGAACAATCTGCTTCAAAAACAGAGGTCTCGGATGCTTCTTGGTTATCAACTGCTTTTGAAGAGCCTTATGGGACTGCAGCTAAGATGCTGGTTAAGAGAAAGACTTACTGCTTGGAGATGAACTCGTTTTGATGCCCGCGTCCTGATCTGCAATGGTAAAAGTCTCAAATGCTGGATATACTGGACAATGTTAGTTAATTTGTTGGAAAAGCGATTTGATGTTTGAATTGTTTATGCGTATGAAAGATGTTTCTATGCATCATATGAATTGATTCTATGTTTGGTTAATAGTTTAAGTTGTTGGCGCATGTATGCTGTTAGTGGGCGTTCATTACATTAGACCATCTTTAATTACATGGTTTTAAGCTATATAAATAATTACATATGCTCTTGATGTCTTTTGGTGATGCATATGTATGAGCTGAAATTACCTTGTTTCTTGATTATATTGATATTGTAATTTTTCTTATGAAATTAGAGGGGAAAGCAAGCATGACTGTGTTTGGTGGTGAATGGTGGGTTTTAGATTTCAATTTTCATCTGAGTTGTGAGAAACCTTTTGTTTGAATTAGGTTGTCCAAGGAAACATCACGAATGCAGGTGATGCTCCAAAAGTAGCATGCCTTGTATTCTTCATTCTGTTTTTGGTTTTAGATCTGCTTGCATTACCTTTTTATTTATGCATCTCTTCTGTATTTAAAGTTCATTTTGTACTTTTCAGGGGAAGCGGCCGAGCACAATGGTCAAGGGGAAGAAGTGATAGCATGCTTTTGGAAAGATGATGATCAGACAACAATTTTGTTACGTGTTTTAGTTTAACCTTGGAGCAGTGTCCTAATGAAAGCTAAACCTTGCTTTGGACCGCCAGTGTAAGCAATCGATGCATGTTGATAATGCACTGCAAGCGTTTCAGCTTTTGTGCTTCAACTGATTGCCAAAATGCATCTGCTGGTTGTTTTTGTATTAGGCATATGCTTGTAAGAGTGCACGCCTGCAACTAGATTGATGTTGTAAGAGCTTTGAGTTTGTAGTTCTTCACTTTTTTTTTAATCTATAATCCCTCTATATGTGAATATTGTAGGTTTGAAGATATCAAGCTTTATGTTATATACTTGTGAAGTGCATCAAGAATTGTAGTTGGCACATAGCTTTTAATGTTTCTTCTATAAATTTACGGTAGTCTTGTCAAAGTTCCATTGATACTTTATAGTCTCATCTTTGCAAATTCTTTGGAGTATTTGATTAACCAAGATTTATGGATGCATGGTAGAGGTTGGAACTCAATGTAGTTGATGGGTTTATTATTGCATTAGTTCTGACACAAATCCAGCAATGATAAAACAATGGGTGCCACTCTGAACAACTGTGTTAGATGATAAAATGTATCTGTTGTATTATGGTTGAACTGGATTCGATGTTTTGTGTTTTGTTTAGATCACTCTGTGATTGGAGTGATCAACTATGCAAAATCAGTGTGGGAGATATAAAATGTTATCAACCATGCAAAATCATCCTTGGTCAAGCTTAAACCCATTTATTAAATTGCTAGAACCGTTGTTTATCCCAAAAAGCAAAGGCCATTTATCATGAATTCCTTCAAAGCAGATTCTAAGTGCACCAAGTCCTACCTTTCCTAGCACAAATGAAGAACTACTTTTCCTCTGAATCAGATTGGTCTGCCTTTAAAAGCAGGGCAATTTGATTAAAAAAAACCAAAAAAACAAAAAGAGTAATTTGGGTGTTTTATTAATTAGTTGAAGGATTACTTCATCAAGCAAGAAAATAGATATTATATATCAGTCGAGAAAATATCAGCTGATGGTGGGCAAACGAATTTACAATGGTAAGTAAAAGGAAAACGATCCTCACACGTATTGAAAAATGCAATTTGATTTTCTAATGATAAGTAGATCACTCCCTCACGCTCACCCACTTTCTTTCTTGGATACATACAAAAGTGACATCCACTTTTAATCACTGTTTCTCACAAAATCAGAGGTGGGTTGTTATTATTATTATTATTATTATACAAATCATGTCAATCCTGATTTTCACCTTTTTCCCCTCATTTAAGTGTTTAACATGTCCTTTTTACAAGCAAAAAAGTCATAAAATCATTCATAAATGCTAAATAAAGCCTTCAACGGGGGCTTTAATCTCCACCATTTTTCTTATTTTCATTAGCACATCTACAAAACCAAGAGGTTTACATCAAAGTTCATAAGCTAGACTGGCAGCTGTTGCTTTCTGCTTTGGCTAGAAAATATGGTGAAATAGGAACTTGTGGTTTGACAGCTCTGCTGAAATGTGCCTATCATTCTCTGACTCTGTCATCTACTCTATTATGAATCGTGGTTCATGCAGTTCACTTTAGCTTCTTTCAAAAGCTAGAAAAGAAACACTACTCACCAAGCAAATGCCTATAAAAAGAAATTTAAAAAGTAAAGTAGTTGAATGGGGCTCTGTTTTGGGTAAAAGGCTGTTCTCAAATGCAATTAAATGGTAACATCATCAACAATGTTTCTTTGTCTTTTCCAGACATGTCATGCTCGCTTTTTCAGCTTTTTTGGAAGTATTTTCTCATGTATAAAGCACTAGCTAGCATCTATCCTTGTCCAAAATGAAATATACTTTACCAACGAAGTTTTTAATCTGCCATACTCTCTCTCTTCGAAACTAAAATGTTTGTTCAGAAACATTTGAAATACAATTCCCTTGCTCTATACCAATCAATTCCATCCAAGTAAGTTTGTCTTTGTTCTTTCCTCACCCAAGCAAATTATCAAACATGTAACAGGTGAGTTGTTATTTGCTTTTCCGAGAATTGGTGTGAATCATAATATTTAATTGTCATTTTCTCTTATTATCATGTTTTCACAAACATATAATTGTCATTTTTCAATATTTTAAAAAATGGGTACAAAAATATACACCCAATAAAGCCAAAGAAAATTTGAGAGAGAGCATATTAAAAAAAAAATGTGTTCAAACAAGTGAAAATGTAATTAATTAAAAACTCAATTTTTTTACTCAATATTATTGTTGATTTGTAGTTCATAATTGTTAAGTTTTATACACTTTTTCTATATTTAAAATTAATTATCATGGAAATTAATCATAGGAACTTAAAAAAAAAATTTAATTATCATGAACTTAAAGTAATTGACAAATTACTAACAAATGATATTTTACTAATAGATGATATAAATATTAACAAATTAAATGGAGTAATGACAGATTTTAGTAAAATGAAAAACTCCTAGTACTTGATTGGCTATCTCTTAGATAATTTTTATGTTATTGATGTTGATATTTGAAAGTTATAAATTTAAAAACATTTATATACGTAATATTATTTTTAATCAGATAAATAATAAAATAAAAAAAATTAAAGATAGCTTAAAAATTAAAAAAAAAATTTCTATTAGATTTACAAATTAATTAAAGTCGCTGTCACCAACTTTGCTAGAAATAAGGGAACGATTAAAGGAAACAGTACGTAGCTGAAAAGGTCGTAGCAAGTGGAAGTTGTGGTCATAGGGCTCACGTGAAATTCAATACTGCAATGATGGGTAGCTTATGTGAAATCCAATCAGCCATAATGAATAATGAATAATGATGTATATTGTAGATCATTCAAAGATTCAAGAATTGCGAATGGCTGTATAGTTATGCATTAATTTAGCAGATAAAAAAGCTCATTCACAATCAAGATGGAGAATGGACTGCCTCTCAATCATGACAACCTGTGAAGTATCTAACGATAATAATAATTGTCTAAACATCAAATATAGAGGATGAATCTGGGTTCAATGGGGGAGAGCTTGAGTTTTGGTAAGCTTAAATCTAGGATAGTTTAGTTAATAAGAAGACAAACTCTTTTTTTTTTTTAGTTAGTTTGAGTTTGATTTTGGGTCCAATTTTTATAGGAAACACTCTAAAGGTTAATTCATAAATGCATCAAATTGACGTGGGAGAATGTGACTTATGATAAAGGTTTGACCTAAAGATAACCCTAATCTTATTAAAAAAAAAAAAAGAACAACCTTTCATTAAGCTTATGTAATACGCAAAACAAGCTCGGGGAGCTTAAAACTTTTTATATGACATAGAATCTATAACATATGCCTAAGATGTGGACACGAACCCGATCTGCAAAATATTACCTTAAAAATTTCAAGATTTTCTCTTATAAAACAAATTTTATATATATAAATTTAAATATCTCCATGTATATTATATCATATTCTCACATTTTTAAAATGTGAAACTGAGGTGAGGGCGTCAAATAAGATGGGTTGATCACAATCATCTTGCTTTCAAAGGCAAATTTCATTCTTGGAATTGCTCCCCAAGCAAGAGTGAAAAAATATTTTAGCAAATTGCTTTTATAAGTACATAAAATAAAATCATCAAAACGTTTCTAAATATATGTAAGCATGTGTCCCTTAGTGCACATGGGAGCTGCCACAAGAAAATGAGGTTCGATGTTTTAAATGAGCGAGAAAGGAGGGCTTGCGGCTTTATAACGCAGACTCATGGACAAGGCCACATTTCTCAACAAATTGACAGTAAATATATAGACAATTTTCAGAATAAATGTAAGATATGGAAAAAAAATAATAATAAAAACTTCAATCGAATTGTTTTTGTTATTCTTGTTGGAAACACACAATGCTTTTTGCACGCATAGATAAATGATATCCCAATTCGTCGATGCCAGCGGAAACACTTGAAAAGGATAAACCAGAAATACTAACAATTTTCAGGAGCAAAATAATAAAGGTATCACAAAGTGCAGGGGAAGAAATGCATTCACTCACTGCTTGGCACTGCAGTTTCCTCAATCTTCTGCTTAATTTCCTGCATCCAAAAATTTTTCACAAAAAATTAGCATTTATGGTAGAAACAGGAAAGAGAAAGGAACTGTCAGATGTTTTGTAATAGAAGTTGCATGATCAGAAACTTGGGTACTAATTGGCTAGGCGTGCAACAGGTGCCACGATAGGAAAATGAACAAGCATGATGTTCGAGAAAAAGGGAAGTTTACATGCATTGCTCTCTGCTCACCGCAACCAATGCTTGGCCATTTATTGTGATAAGCTGAAATAAGAATTTTTGGACGCTCATTCACAAGATAACTGATTCCCCAAAACATCTTCTAATCATTCACTGATACGACAAATTTGGGATCGAGGCATATCATTCATCCAAACCAACCCACATAATCCACTAAGCTATTACTTTTTATCCTCTTGCAAAACATAGACAAATCATGCTTTGGAAAAAATAAATCCCTTGACCTTTCCCAATTGTAGAATACCATGTCTAATGGTATGGCCAAACAGGAGAATATGCCTTTGATAATCATCAATCTCCATTCTTTTGTTAACAATCACCCTACTATAACTACTCCTTTCTTCAAGTCAGCAGAAAATAATGCAAAAAAGGAGACTTAATCTTCTATGACGAGCCTAACAGAGGATCCAAGGAAGAACACGACGATCCACTTTCACCTTAACATCTTTGTAATGCAATAACTCCAACTACAGTTGAATTTATTTCACTTACCATATCCACTCTAATCTCTTATGCAGCCCCAAAGCATGTTAGAACACTTCAAATTACTTTGTCTATACACCCACAATCCTCATTCCCAAAACAATTATGCCATTCTTAATCAATTCAGTTCTCAAAGTACTTTTACTAAGGTTCAATACTAAGCACTGATTATTCTTAATTCAGATAATGTGCCATGATTAGCAACCAACTTTGATAACATATATAATGGGGAGATTTTCTACTGCATAAGTTATAACTCCATTGACCCTTTCAGCTAGTGGTTTTGAAGAGCCCATGGTATTTGGTTTGAAAGCACTTAGATTTTAATGTATGTTATTATATCTCTTGCTACTTCTAAAATTTATTAAGTTAATAACTCAAAATCAAATTCAAAAGTAGAAGATAAAAAGCAATCCATTCATTTTTCTATTTCTTCCTCTTTTAAGAGTCTTGAGCATAATATATCCTGAAGTATGAATATGAGTAATTAGCATTCAAGAAGAACATTGATATACCTGAAATGCCTCTTACCCTATATGATTTTTTTTTTCTGTTGGCTGTCACTATATTAGTTGAAGTTATGCCAAAAGCTAGCAGTAAATTCTTTTGTTCAATTTTATTTATATTTTTGCTTCGTCAATCAAATAGGGCTTTAAAGTTGGTGGTAATCTTTTTAATTTATAAAAAGCAAAAAAAAAAAAAAAGTAATACCCTTTAGCACAAAGTTTTTTTAGTTTCCCTATAATTAATTTTAACTTTGCATACCTAAATGCCTCAACAAGCAAGACATTATGAGGGTGAGCTATGTTCCATAGCCATTGCAATATGCATAATATCACTAACACAGGAAGAAAATATTTGCTCAAAATCCAGTCAGCTTTTAAATCCCTAGAACACCTAAATTTTGCTTCATGTAACCTTTCATTCACTTTTAATTCCAAATTATTACTTACGTTCTCTTCTAATATTTTAACATACACCATATAAATAAATATGGATTATTATTGAAGAACAATTTTTTCTTTATGAGGATGAACAATTTTTAACCTAAAGGAAAATCAACACTATATAGAGCATAGAACAGCAAGGCAGGAGGCCTGCCAGCATAGACAACACCAAGGAAAGGGGCTTATAAACTATGGTTCCTTTCAATTGAAAATTTTCGGCTTTGCTGTGACTCAAACAAGTATGAAACTACTACCACTGCTATTAGATTAAAATTAAAGCAAACTTAAATGCATAATGGAACTATTAGATTAAAATTAAAGCAAACTTAAATGCATATTGGACATATGGAAGCAAGGAAAAGGATTTACATTTAGTCTTTTATGATAAGACTTTAGATGCAGTTCCCATATTCTTTTACTCAGATTTTTTAATAGAAATAACTCACACATTTAAATTGCCAAGTTAGCAGTCACCACAGCACATTTTTTTCTATCAAGAGGAAAATTCAAACAGTTAACTTGTTGATGATGAGTTTCAATTTCTTTTACAATTCTTTAGCTGCAGAATTTCTTAAGTTTTAATAAAGCCTTATTTATAAAATTTCTTTGTTAGGTGAGATTTTCTTTTCTAATAGTGCAATTTATAATTGTTGTCTTATGTTTCTCATTTATTAAATTTTTGTGGCCTAAAAGGAAAGTTTGGTAATAGATTTCAGTCATTAATCTTTTTTATCATTATTAATTTTGATTTGATGTTAGATCTTATAAATTTAATTATACCTTAGAATAAAGATGTATTTGGAATATCAAATGAAGCAAATTGACATTTTTCAAAATCTCAAGCTCAATGCTTTAATTGAATTCAAACTACAGACAATTTTCTCTTTGTTTGTCTCTATGTTTTAGTAATTTCTACTGTAAGAACAGTGACAGCTCATTTACAATAATATAAAATTAAAATCTGCATTTCATCCTTCCAAACCTTGAGAAACACTTACCTTGGAAGCAGCCGTTTGTCTTGAAGTTTGAGAGCTCGAGGTCTTACGTGCATGTTTAGCCCTAATCCTCTAGACACTTTAACAACTCAAAAACCTGACAGTTGAGGGATCCATTGGCATGTGGTGCAGTTGAGCAAAAAATAAATTAAGGTTTCTAAAGCTACACCAAAGTCACAACTATTTCAAAAGCAAACTTTAATTGTTCTATCCAGTATCCAGCAAGAGTTGGCCACCAAGAAACTAACACCTGGCATGGATTCACAGATGTTAGGGGGAAGGGAACCAGGAAGAGAACAAACAAGGAGACAACCAGCCGATGCTTATTCACAGCAATCCATGCAGGAATCATAAAAAGACAATATAATAATTGACACCCACAAAAGAAATGGCCCCAATGGGAGACTTCTTTGTGAATACCAAGAAAGCGAACGATTCATGGTACTATGCTACGCACAAGCACAACACGTAAAATCCAAAAGGCAAGCGAAAAACAAATTAAAAATAAGTACAGAAGAACTTCAATTAAACGAGGCTGTTCAGCTTACCAGAGAAAAGATGCGGCCAAGAGTAAATGTTTGCAGGAAACTGATTAGTTCTTTCCTTTTCCTTTCTGGTCTGAGCTCCTGCTTCCATCCCCATAGCAGAGCTGCAAGCGGCCATCTAATCCAGCTGGGAACTGATGGTGGTGATGATTTTCCACTGGTGGTGTACCAATGTAGAAGGGTGATGATCCGTCTATAGAAGAAAACCTCTGGAGGTGATGAGGCAAAAAAGACGGAGAATTGGACTGAAGGGTCCCCCGATTGAAACCAGCTAGGCCGGAAGAGATTGTGAAGTTAAGGTTGTAGTCACTCCCAGGCCCCGGTTGTGTTGTTGCCACCGGGATCAGATGGTCAGGAGTTGGAACAAACGAAAAATGCTGCAATTCCTGATGATTTTCACCTGAAACATTGAATGGTGTTATTGATATTGTTTGCGGCAAAGAGTTTCCTAGTTGGATTTGTCCTGGAAATCCTGAAGAATGAATACTCCTTGAAGAAGGAGGAGGTCCAAGGAGCCCCATGGTAAAGTAATCCATCTGAGTCACAGGCCACTGCCTAGCAGTATTAGCCTTATGGAAAAAATCATGATCCCCATTGGAGTTTTGATGAGCTGAAGCTGTAGGACTAGTATTATCGTTGCTAACACTGCCAATACCACCGGTAAGTAACTCAGTAAAAGAGGAGTTTTGAGAAATGCGGTTCATATTTTGATGGTGTGCAGTGCCAGACTCTTGCTCCTTCTCCTTTTCTTTTGCTGCTCTTTCCCTTGCTCGTTCCCGGGCCTTTACACGGTTCACACGGATCTCAGACCTCGAAAGGGATAAACCCGAGTTCTTGCTAGTGTCAGACGTGCTGCTGCAAGCTGATTTGGACAAAGAAAGGTGTTGACTTTGGTTTTGTTGATAATTGCTTGGATCACCATCTAACCCCACTTCTGCTGAGTCAAGCCCTTGTTCAGTCCCCTCACTTGCTCTTTTCTCGTCACTCAATTGCTTTGGTGTATCAGGAAATGGACTGTTAAGTGAAGGAAGCTCCGCAATTGCATCAGCAGCTGCTTTAATTAACCACTCTACAGCTTTACTAGGCTGATCATAGCCCAACCGATCTTGCAGATCATAAAATTGTATAGCTGTTGTAACAGATAACCTTACCCTCCTGTCTCTTAACCCTTTTGAAGTCCAAACCTTGCTGTGCCGATCTTTGCCACCGGAGGCTCGAGAAACCCTAATAATTCTCGAAGAATGGTGCCAACCTCGAAGCCGATTAGTACCAGCAGAGTGGGCTCCAACAGCACCGATCCCCCCTCCTCCTCCACCATTTGCACCAGCCCTTTTGTTGAGCTCTCCATCTTCTTCATCATTAGGGTAGCTGTCACTACCTTTCTGATCTATCTTGCTTGAGTCATTTCCTCCATTACCAACTCTTGAGAACTTACAGGCTTGTGTCTGAGTCTCATCCACCTCCATACCACTTTCATTCCTTTCTCACAAACCAAGAACTCAAAACCTCCACTCCCAAACAATAACCCCCCTTACCTTTTCTTCTTTTTATTTGGTTGTTTATTTTACTTGGAAAGAAAAAGAGAGAAAATCTTGAGTTTTGGAGTAATATTAGAAAGAGTAAGAGAAGGAGACGATGGTGATGGTGATGGTGATGGTGGTGGTATGAGGGAAGAAGTGAAGGTGGGGTTGAGATGTCCTATGCATTGATAACGATTATACAGAGAGTACTTTGGTTACGCAGTGATAAAAGGCCTTTTTTTACGCTTTGATATATCACGTCCAAGTCAGGAGACTACCCTGCCTCTCTCTCTCTCTCTCTCGTTTAAGCTTTTTGCAGCTGTAGTGCTTTCAAAAGCAAAGCCTGAAAAATGGCAGCCACAGCCTGCAAAGAAAAGTTAAAAATAAATAAAAATATAAAAATTCTACATAAAATCAGATAAGGTAAAAGCATCTGATGCTTCAAAAATCAAATATGCGTTTGAGTGTTTGACAAACTGCTTTAACGCTTTAACCACGCAAAGATAAAACATATAGAACTAGTAACTTATTGGCCATTGCTGCACAAAACCTGAAGCTCTGAGACCTTGAGCTGAGAGAGATCTGACTTCTGCTACTTTGTTGTTCTATTGTAATCATGGAGTAAAGTCTTTTAAAGACGATCAACCTTTAACAAAAGTTGAAATAGAAAGCTCCTTGCAATGTATATAGCTGCTATATACCTTGAATGTGAGAGACCCTCTTTGCTGCTTCACAATTAAGCAAAAGAAAAGCAATAATTGTGGTACGATTGGTGCCGATCTGGAGCCATCCCTTATTCCTTCTTTCTTTCTTCTCTCTTTTACTCTTCCTTTTTATATTTAAGGCTTTTTTGCAGCTGACCCTAACAATAGCAGACACCACCACCACCACTGTTTAACTTAATAAAAGGACTAGTAAATGACAAACCCCCCACTAATAAATAAGCTGTTTCTGAAATTACCAACAAAGAATAACAACTCTATTCTTAAAAAATTTGCCTCACTTTGAACACTGTTGGTTGTTGTTACAGGTGTCGAATTCTCGGACAGAAAATATAACAAATAAAAACTGTATCTTGATTTTTGTAATTCCCTTCTTTCTCTCTCTTTTTTGTTTCCCCTCACTGATTGAAGTGAAAATAGATCTTTGCAGTACAACTTAGAATCCAAAGCCACACCACAGATCTGCAACTCCTCACAGCTACTTTGAAGAAAGATTCAGCTCTAAACAGATCAGTTACCTGCAACAACAACAACAACAAAATACCAACTAAGAAAAACTCCTTCTTAGTAAATGTCAACTGTATTATCGATTCCAACTCCGATTAAATCCTCAGAAAAAATCTAAAACCTTTTATACCTGTAAATTTAAAAGATGGGTACTTTAGATCAGAACAAATAGTACTTTGTAAAATTTCTTTTCATTTTTTATGCATAGATCAATTTTCTAAAAACACAAGCTTTACATAATAAGTCCCTCGTTTTAGCTCAAAAAACAAGCTAGAGAGAAAATTAACAAATTTACTAAACACCCAAAGAAACAAAATTACTGCAACTAGAGAAAGAAAGAAAGAAAGAACGAACCTACAAGCAGAATTTTTTTTTGGCTTCTAAAAAAATTTTTAAAAATGGGGTTGCTAGAAATTCCTTGCCTTTCTTTTTTTTTTTTCTTTATTTTTCCTTTAGTCACATCTCCATGTAGCTCCACACAAAGTAATGAACTTTGAAAAAAAAAAAAAAAACAAAGCAAACGCTATTGAATTAACTTGAATTTTCGTACAAAAAAAGGAAAAGATTTTATTCCACAAAAAAAAAAAAAACTTACAGCTAGGGTTGATAGTTGTTTGGTAAGAAAGACTTAGGACAAAAAGTGAAACAGTCCAAGAAAATGGGAATTGGTAAAGGTTAGAAGAGAAGAAGATAGTTTGGAAGTGAGGGTGTTGTGTTGGGTATATGAATATGAGATTTAAAGTGAAGAACAAAGGCTTTCATTTTATCCCCATTCGAGCAAATAACCGGCCTCACCGGGAAAGGACGGACACTGTGCCCGCCGTTCCAATCTTTAATATGTGTCCTACTCCACCCTTTGCCCCCTAGTCCCTCCCACATTTACTTATTTGCCATTCTCTTAATTTATTTTATTAGTATATGTTTTCCTAAAAATTATTTTTATCATTATGAATTTATGATATCCTTTTAATTAAAGTTAATGTATATTTACATACTTAATTAGTAGTTTTTTCTCCCTATAATTTGAAATTTTTTTTGAATTAGGTTTAATCTCATAAATTAGTAATATGAATTTTTTTAAAGTAATTATAATCATCGTGAAATTAGGATAAAAATTTTAAATATAATTAAACGAATCCCTGATGTTTCCCCTTTTATAAACAATCTAAAAAGAAGCATGTAGAAATAATTTGATGGCATGCATTTCTTACTTCGATTTAATTTTTTTTTTAAATATAAATCTTGAAGAAGAGATTAAAATTTATGAAATAAAAAAAAAGTTAATATATACAACTCGAGTGTGTTTGTAAGGAATTTCAAATTTGTTATAATTATCGTGATTTTGATATTTTGTTTAAAGAATACTATGTTTTATAATCAATTAATGAGTTTTTTTTTTTTTCAAATTTAAGAGTAAAAAAAGTTTTCATTTTTTAAATTAAAAAAAGTTGTTAACTCACAAAAAAAATTTACGAATTTTTTGAAAATTTTTGAATTTATAAATTATTTATCAACAAATAACAGTAAAAATTCAAATTTAGGTGATATAAGATAAAATGGTTTTATTTCAAGAGTTGAATTGTTGAAGGCACCACCATTTTGTTTGGTGGTAGCCCTAAATATATCCCCACTTGTTTCGGTGCATGCCAATAGTCATTACACAAACAGCCACAAAATCTTTTCCTTACCTAAACACAATTAATTTTCATAAAAGCAAAAAATCATATACTAGCCTTTTATGCCGTTGAATTTTTACTTTCATGAAATATGGTTAATTATTTTATAAATTTTTTTTATTTGAAATTTTATATCCGATAATTATTTTAAATTTCGATTAATCCAAAATCGAATCGAATTAAATCTCATAAGAAATATAAACTCTCATAAACTTATTTTTTTCATTTATAAAATTTGAAATCAAGACTTTATTTTAAAAAAATTGAACTCCTTGTCATTCATATTAACAAACATTAGTAACAATTTTATAAATTCATGCTATTGTTTTTCTCTCTCAATAAATTTGAAATAGGAATTAGATGAAAGAAGAAGAAAATGAAGAATTTAAAAATCTATTAGAGGTTCAAGAAAATCCTTTTGCTCTACTAACCAAAAAAAAAAGAAAATTATATAAATTAATGTGCATGTTTTTTTTTTACCCTCTAAACGCAAAACAAACTTCACTTGAGTAAACGCCATGAGTATTAATTATGATAAAGGTAAATGGCTCATCTAATTAATGCAATGAGAGAATATTTATACATCAAATAAAGAAGAAAATCAACATCAATCACACATTCTTGAAGTTCAAAATTCTCCCATTTTTAGAAGCCTTTACACTTGCATGTGTTAGGTACCGGAGATAGAAAAAAAAGATTATAAATGTTTATATTTAAATCTTAAATTTATTAAATATTATTTTTTAAGTTGATTATATAAATTAATTTATTTAAGTTTTAGATTTTACAAATTAAAAAACTTATGAACGACGAAAATCATCTTCAAAAATCACAAGAGTAATGTACCTATTGATTATCTTCGCCATATCAACAAATCGAAATTGAATTCATCCCATGTACGAATTAAATCAATGAAAAAGAAAACAAACCAGCATTTTGGCCAACTCCAACAATACAAATTATTAAGTATGTCAAATGTAGAGAGAGACTATAGGTTTTAATTAATTATTGGCTTTGAGTAAAGCTTGAATTTGATTACTTCTGATCTGAAAAATAATAAATTCCAAGTGGTGCATCCCTCACCTTATATGGCATATTTCACTTTATTCCAACTGAATAATCTTCTCCACCTGAATTCAATTTTGAGGGGGGGGGGGGGGGGGGGTGGTTGCCAATCAACCTTTCTTTTCTTTTTGGCCAATATTCAACCCTAGCTTCTTTGTAAAATGCCAACCTTGGCAATGCCACCAACTGAGAAGTTAATTTCGTCTTCCAAAGGGAAATTGATAGGACATCATCGTATCAATAAAATAAAACTAGAGAGTAATCAAGGCCAAGACGCATAGTTTCGGTTTTTGTACAAATCTAAAAACTAGAGATCAAAGTTTGGAGAAAATAAAAGAGAGTGATCAGATTGTTTTTTTTCAACAAACCTGGTCTTTGTACCTACCTCTCATTATTGTGAATGACAACATTAACTGTTTGGGACACAGAAACTATAAAACTGTGTCAAGATACAACTGGTAAGGGAGGAATGTCCCTTGCCCAACCAATATAATTATTAAGGCAAATATTAATTTGATCCCTGGTTCTTCCCCTTCAAAGAAAACTATGATTGTAAATTTTAAGGCATTGGGTTTTTCAGTTTTTGTTATCCTGTTGTTCTGCTTCAAATGAGAATAGTAGATGTCAGAAAAATATGAAATGCTGGTGGGAAAATTAAAGCTGTACTCTACAATTGATTTAATGGGTGATATTCATATTGGGACTATAAAAACTTTCCAAAGAATATTGTCAATTTTGATTATAAAAAAATTAAATAGACTCTATATAACTATAAGAATACAAATACCTTTTTCACTTAACATTTACTTTATTGTTGGTTTAACCTTAGTACAATAGGAGGGCTATCTCTATACATGTTGGTCCTAAATAATTCATCCATTTCCCACTTTGTTGGAAACTTTTTTCTCAATTTCTTTTAAATAAATTTGCCTTTGCCTACTTAAAAAATATAGTTAGACAATGCCAAATGTATTTCACCTTTGGAAAAAAAAACAAAAAAGGAAAAAAAGAAGCAGTTCAAACAACTTAGTATCAACAAAGCTAAGGCAAAAATAAAAGAAAATCAAGTATAGGGTCAAAAAAGCTTATTAACTACTTAAAAACCCTAAATTAAATATAATAATAATTAGGACCTTGGAACCCTAGCTGGTTTTTGTGAAGGTCTTATTTAGTAATTATAATAAGATTGAAGGGTTAGTGTGTAGGATGATGGAAAGTAGAGCATCCAACTAATTAATTAATCTTTGGGATAAAAAGGTTAATTATATATAAAAATAAAAAGGTCTTCTTTCTTTTCTTCACTTCTTAACCAAATGTCAAGTTGAGAACTTCACTCACTACTCTTCAAACTAATCCGAAACTTTTGTACAAAAAATTGTTTTTTTGGGGTCACTTTAATATTTTTAAAGTAAAGATTTGAAGGCATTAAGGATTTAATTAATGCGATAAAACTTATCTCTCCGTACAAAGTAATGATCTGTCTCTTTACCTTCAAACTCCTCAATTATATAACATATATAGGTAATACTTCAAATAATATGTTGTTGAAGTATTAAAATTTTAATTTAAATAATTAAAATTTAATTTTTAATAATTTTAAATATAAAAATATAAATTTTATGAAATAAATTATATAATTAATAATAAATAGTAATAATATAGTAATTAATTACTTATGGAAAGTAGCAATTTGGATGGGGTATGGAAGCAACATAAACCCACTGTGATATTCCCTTTGCTGGCAAACAAAATTGCAGCACTATTGGGGATGCAAATAAATAGAGCATTGAAGAATCGTTCTTGAATATGATCGGCTTTTATTTATTTATAATCATTTATTAAATTTAATAAATAATTTTGTATAATATTTTTATATTTATTTATTAAATAAACCAAATATAAATAGATATTTGTTTGATTCCTTTATATTCATGAAAAAACTCATTTAAAATTTATTTAAAATTCGTTCATTTATTATTTATTTGTTATTTGTTTATAATAATATTAACAAAATTATATTTTTATCATTTCTTTTAATCATATTTTAAGGTTCAAATATATTCGTTTGAATTTACTTATATTCGTTCGATGTTTATTTCTTTAAATTTATTAGGTTATAATTTATAAACGTGTTCATTTATATATATTCATGAATATGTTTGTTTAATGGTTACGAACAAATTCATTTACTTAATTGAATCAAATATGAACATCGTACTATTTAAACAAATTAAGCTCAAACGAATAGAATAATTTTCTTAACAAATATGAACTAAGCCAGAACACACTGACGAATACTTTAAAGATGACCCCTTCAAAATTTTTGAATTTTTTTATACACATGTTATTTTCATAATAATTTTAAATTTTTTTATAAAAAACTAATTTATCCCCCTCAAACTTAAATTTATTATATTGATATATATTATTCTTTTTTTATGTATTTATATTGGATATATAGTTATAAAAGTTATTTGTATCTAAATATTACAATTCTTAATTTCAAAAAAATTATAATTCTTCAACTTGTGTTTACTTATTATAAATAAATTTTAATTTAAAATGAATAATAAATTTGTCGACACTATATTTTCACAAACATGTAATTTTAAGTTTAATATATATGCAAGCATTATAACAACTAAAATCAATTTGACAAAAATCTAATTGTGATTTTTTTTTCAATCAATTATTTTATTATATTTTGCATGCTCATCTTATTTGAAAATTGTTACATATCAAAATAATTAATATGAGTAGTTTAAATACATTTTCATTTTTCATAATATAAAAATACCATGTAAAAAATTAAAAGGTTTTAATTATGTATCAAAGTCTTTACTTCATTGTTTTAAAATTTAATTTATTTAAAAATTATATTTTTTTGGGTGATTTTTTCACTTTAATACTTTAAATATTAAATATGATAAATAATGTATTAATATTATAAAAAAATTACGATTTTATTTTAATAAAAATTTTTATTAATGATTTATAATTAGAAAATCGTGAGATTAATTATTTAATATATTCATTTTGTTATACATATA